AGCTCATCCAGAGTGTTGGGTCTTGTGTCTTCAGCTCATCCAGAGTGTTGGGTCTTGTGTCTCTCAACTTYCTCTWCAHAABATCCCACAGATTCTCTCTGGGGTTCAGGTCAGGAGAGTTGGCAGGCCAATTGAGCCCAGTGATACCATGGTCAGTAAACCATTTACCAGTGGTTTTGGTACTGTGAGCAGGTGCCAGGTCGTGCTGAAAAATGAAATCTTTATCTCCATAAAGCTTTTCAGCAGATGGAAGCATGAAGTGCTCCAAAATCTCCTGATAGCTGCATTGACCCTGGCCTTGATAAAACACAGTGGACCAACACCAGCAGCTGACATGGCACCCCAGACCATCACTGACTGACAACTCTTCTCGTGCAGCGTTTTCTGCCACACGTTTTCCTTCCCACAGACTTCCCACTGAGGTGCCTTGATACAGCACTCTGGGAACAGCCTATTGGTTCAGAAATGTCTTTCTGTGTCTTACCCTCTTGTTGAGGGTGTCAGTGATGGCCTTCTGGACAGCAGTCAGGTCAGCAGTCTGAACCATGATTGTGGTTTTGAGTAATGAACCAGACTGGGAGTTTTTAAAAGCCTCAGGAATCATTTGCAGGTGTTTATAGTTAATTTGTTGATTCAGATGATTAGGTTAATAAGTCGTTTAGAGAAACTTTTCATGATATGCTAATTTTTTGAGATAGGGATTTTTGAGTTTTCTTTACTTTTTTGCCAAAATCATCAATATTAAAACAATAAAAGGCTTGAACTACTTCAGTTGGTGTGCAATGAATCTAAAATATATGAAAGTTTAATGTTTATCAGTACATTACAGAAAATAATGAACTTTATCACAATATGTTAATTTTTTAGATGGACCTGTAATGTGATCAAAATGATTTTAGGTTGGTCCTCTACAGCAGTGGTTCATAAAGTTGGGGTCCTGAAAACATTTTCTGAATTCACAAAAAAAAAAAAAACTAAACACTTTTTTTGCCTTTCTTGTTACAAAATAATAAGATTAGTGTAGTTAAAATGGGCAAAGATAGCGTAATAAATATTGTTACTATGCTCTTGTTTATTTGAGGTGAAAACTGTCGATCAACAGCTGGGGGCTCAGGTCTCTGCTGCTGCTATTTTGTGGGTCAAAAGCTGAAAAGGTTGGACAGGATACCAAAAATAAATGTGACTTCTTAAAGGTGCTTTCTGACAAAATTGTTCATTTTACAAAGAAATTATTTTATACCAATTATTTTTGTTTCAACACCACCTTTCCAATCACTGCCACAGGTTCAAGTTTATTTGCCATTTGCAGTAGAAAAACTACTTTGGAAAAACAGTTTTTTTTTTCAGAGGGTGTAAATTAGGATTATTGAGCATATTTGTGCAGAACATGCTTGTTTAGATATGAATTAGAAAGTGAAACAAGGTGGTTCAGTTGGTAGAGCTGCTGCCTCTCAGAGAAGGTCGCCAGATCAAAGGTACCGTTCTGTAGAGTCTGCACGCTCTCTGTGCATGTGTGGGTTTTTTTCTGGGCACTGGCTTCCTCAGACCAGAAACCTGAGAGTTAGGGTAACTGGTAACTCTAAACTATCCCTAAGTGTAAGTGAGAGAGGGAATGGTTGTTTGTCTGTGTGGCCCTATATGATAGACCTCTACACTGGCCCTTCCACAGTGATGGCTGTACATGGGCAACAGTAACCCTCATGAACCTGAAAGGATGAATGGACCTCATTTAAATGAGCATATACTGTAGACAGATACACATTTTAAAAACAAGTGTCACTTCACATATTTGGTGAGAAAAAACACTCATGAGGAGCAGTGTTTGGTTACAACTTCACTTCTGGGAAATGATGTTGATGCCGCCCAACAACTTGCAGCAGGTTTTACCACTGCTGATCATCCTTCGTCAGGGTTTGATTGTAATCCTGGATGAGTGCCATTCCCCACTGAGCAGGTTCTGCTTCTTAGATTCCATCAGAACCTGCCATGATGACTGAAATGATGGGTCATCCTACTGTTCTGATTGATCCTTGACAAGGAAGTCAATGAGGCTGTTGAATGCCTCAAAATGGGACTTGTTTTATTTTTATTCACCATTCTTTAACCAGGCAAGTCCCGTTGAGATCTCAGATCTTTTTTCAAGGGAGGCTTGGGCCTGAAGGCAACCTGTTGTACATGTTTTTGTGGGGTGGGGGAAATCGGAGTACCCGGAGAAAACCCACGCAAGCACAAGGAGAACATGCAAACTCCGCACAGAAAGACCCCAGGTCAGAACTCAGGACCTTCTTGCTGTGGGGCGTCAGTGCTAACCACTGAGCCGTCGTGTCACCAATTGAAGCAGATGTAACTAAATCTGCCACAGCTTTGGTGACAATAGCTTCATTTGCTTCTAGGTCCACTGTTGCACATGACTGACCTTCCTCCTTGAGAACAGCTATAATCATCATGTGCAATGCTGCTGTCAGATATGACAAGTCCGGCCAGTTCTTTACTCAGATACCACAGATTTCTGGCTAACGTCTCGCTGGTGGCCTTGACAGAATCAGAACTTCAAATTTCACTCGCATGGCACAAAAACAGGTTGAGCGGCAGTAATATTTTTCAAGTTTTATGAAATTTCACCCAATTAATTTTTTTCACAAATGGAACAAAAAGTGAAGAAGCACCTTGGTAAAGTAGGAGTTTGTATTATGGGACCACACTATAGGTCACACACTCATCCTGCCAACATTAGTTATTGTGTGTTCAGTTCACTGTGTTGTGGATGACTTTCAGCTACTAGCTCACCTGGTTTCAGTTCGTTATCTGCAGAAAGGACTGTTTTATCTAACTTTGCATTTACTGAAGTCATCTTGAACTGTGTTGACCACTTGTAGCTACATCTAACGTTTATTTTCTAAGACATTTATTAAAATGTAGTGACTTGTGAGCTATTTTGCTACTAAGTTAAGTTTTAAGAAAACAACAAATATGTTAACCTTTGGAGACTGTGATGAGGATGACTCCCAGCTACTATCACACTACATTTGAGCTCAATACATGTAAAATTGAGTAATTTAGAACTTTTTGTCAACTTGTTATTATTATTATCAGTGTGAATGCCTTGACAGCATTCCCACTATTATTTTCATGTTTCTCTTTATTATTTAGACCCTATCTCCTTCCACAATTTTTGTGCTGTTTCTACAATTCATATATTAAAATATTCAGCTCATTCTTGCCATTCCGACAATGACTTATGGTCTCTTAACTTTTTATACTTTTTAAGCTATTTCATTTTTTTTTTCATTTTTTCCCCATTGACTTTGAATGGGGTTGTGTGTCTGTGCATCTGTGACATCAACAGTGACATCATCAGTTTGTTTCTTAGCTGTTCTTCAGCTAAAGTTATCAACAAGAGGCATTCACACTGGCATTTTTGTCGGAAATTCTAATTCTCTAGTTTAAATTACATCTAGCAGCAGATATGTTTAGCATTACCCACAGCTTATCCTGGTACATTTGACCTCGACAGGAAAAAGCTGCACTAAATAAATTTAGAAAAATACACTTGTTTCCTATGGTAAATGGACTGTACTTATATAGCACTTTTCTATCCATCCAGGACACTAAAAACACTTTACACTACAATCTGTGTCCTCATTCACACAGCACTCTATTAGGTCTCTTCAAAACTAACATGTACAATCATCTGTAGAGACTAATCAGTGCCAATCACATTCATACACTGATGGGACACATCAGAGGCRTTAGGGGTGAAGTGTCTTGCCCAAGGACACAACAACTGAGACAGCTGGATGGGGTTTTGAACTGGCGACCTTCTGGTTCCAGGACAACTCCCCTAACCACTCTGCCACAGCCACCCCAAATAAATTATATATGAAAAAAGCAAGACTCAGACTTCACACAACAACCAAATAAGTTTAGCCTTAATTTACATTATAAAACAACTACACAAACTAGAGAATTTGCATTTCCGGCGAAAATGCTAGTGTGAATGCCTCTTGCTGATAACTTTAGCTGAAGAACAGCTAAGAAACAAACTGATGATGTCACAGCTGCACAGACAGGAAACTCTCAAGCAACAGACTGTTCAGCTGTGACATCATCAATTCCATCTCCATTGGAACTATGCCTGGACAGGTCACAAGTCCATCACAGGGCCACACACAGAGACAAACAACCACTCACACCTAGGGATAATTTAGAGTTATCAGTTAACCTAACAGTCATGTTTTTGGTCTGTGGGAGGAAGCCGGAGTACCCGGAGAGAACCCACGCATGCACGGAGAGAACATGCAAACTCTACCCAGAAAGGTCCCCGGGCCGGGATTTAAACCGACGACCTTGCTGAGAGGCATCAGCTCTACCAAAGGAGCCACCGTGCCGCCCAAACACAAATATATGCCTTTTTAATTTTCAAAGGATTTGTATTTTGAGTGTAAAGCGTACTGTAAGTAAGCCACAGGTGACATGGCCACACAGGACACGCCACACAAAGTCAATTTTGCCATGTTTGTGATATTTTCAGTGGAAATAGAAGTCTTTGGCTCTGGACTTGTGATCTGAGCAGTTGTCTCTGGTACTTTTGGAATCGCAGTCTCATGTGGAAAAGACCGGGGCCTTGGAATCCAAGAGATCTGTACTTTTGATACCACAGTTTGCTTTATGGTGCGTTCACACCGAACACGATTTCAGCATCAGGAGCATCAGGTTTACATACAAAGTCTATGGTGGACGCGCTTCAATCAGAGTCGGGAAGTGCTGCGGCGCCTCAAGCGCGATTAGAGCAGCAAGATTTGAACGATCTGAGCGTTCGACGCGCTGAGGCGCAAATCGCTGAAGTTAGAAAATCTGAACTTTTGCAGCTCGACG